TTTATTTTCCCATTCTACGTTGTTATAAAAGACTTTTCCTGAAAAAATTTTTGAAAAATTTTAAATTTTCTGTCCTCCCTAGTAGTTTGAATATTTCATATTTACTACATTTTTAGAGATTTTTTTTTTTCAGTTTGCACCGCTGGACCTTGCGGAGTTATAATCACAGCGTGCAACAGCAAATTTTATGAAACTGTGCTTCGTTTGCAACTTTTTAAATTTAAAATGGCAATATCAACACGTTCAAATACTGAAATATTTTTATTAGGACAAACCCAATAGATTGGTTGCAGAATTTTGCCTACAAAAGGCGACGTTTTAAGATATTTTTATTACTAAAATATCTTAAAACGTATAGAAAAAATAAAAAAAAAAGATTTATATGTAAGTGAGTCAGAGTTAATTAAGGATAAAATAAAAGAAAAATGTAAAAATAGTAATTTAATTTTGCACATTGATGCAAAAAAGTTACGGCTTTAAATGAAGACTATATTACTGAAGTAAGAAAACGTCTAGCTATTGCTGTTACAATTCCATACAGGGATTAGAACACAAATGGAAAACAACAGGATGAGCTGCAAGGCATAGTTGAATGTCAATCGGGGAAAGGATATGATCAAGCATTGGCATGTTTTAATGATATAAAAAAGTTTAATAATAATTACTTTATAATTAGGATTTGTGCTGACACAACAGCAAGTAACACTGGTTGTAATAAGGCTTGTATAAGTATTTAAGAAGAACTTTTAAATCGACCTCTATTAAGACTTCTTTGTAGAAAACATTCTGAAGAACGACATATTTTACGTGCAATAAATGCAATCATTAAAACAGAAAGCAAAATATCAAAATCTATTTGTACAAGATTCAAAGCTGCTTGACCAATGCATTATGAAAATGTTCAAAATAATATGGATCAGTTATCAAAGTTTCCGTGGTGCAAAGTTAGTGGAACTCCATTAGAAGATATAGCTAAAAAAAATTATCTTTTTGCAAACTTTGGAACTTAATACTTTCCCCAGAAATGATTATAAACATTTGTGTCAATATGTCATTGTTTTTCTGGAAGAAAGGAAGGCAGTTCCTGATCTTATTATACACAAACTAGCTGCTAAACATGATGCTAGATTTATGGCAATGAAGCTTACTCAACCATTTTGGCAACATTTTGGCAATGAAGCTTACTCAACCAATCATAACGTTTTTAAACCTAGAGGAAGAAATAGTATTATATATATATAGTATTATATTTAAGAAAGGCTGCGATATATGTAGCTTCAGTTCATGCAAAAATTTCTTCAATCTTCAAAATTTTCTTCAATCAAGTCAAATTGTTTCTACAGCTTATAATAATTTGTGTAGAGTTAAAGAGATGATAAAAATGAAAGATTTTGATGCTGATGTTTCTCAAGCTTTTATTTCAAGTTATCTTAGACACAGTTATTATCTTTCTGAAGAAACGGTTGTCTTTTGTTTAGTTGATAAAAGTCTTGAAAACAAAGTTGAAGAAAAAGTTGCTCAGCAGTTGTTAAAAACAAATTTACCTGAAATCTTTAAAAGTTTAAGCCTGTAAAAATAAACGAACATTCAGAACTTAATGACTACGTTAGTCGAAATTCTTGGCTAATTTTTAAAAAAGTTCCTTATTTATCAAAGTGGTTAGAAAGTCCACCTGATTTGTGGACTCGTGATTCTGATTATAAAAATATGCAAAAGTTTATAAAAAGATTAGTCTGTGTCAATGACTGGTGTGAAAAGAGCTATTAAATTGGTATTAAAAGCTATTAAAAGCTATTAAATAACTTTATCGATTAAATATCGATTAAAAAAAGCTATTAAAGACTTTATCGAATCAACAATTAAATAGGAGAAGTTACAAGATATTTTACTGGTTTTAAAGAAACACAGAGTTAATTTTCCATTTTATAATTGCAACTGGTCCAAAGAAATACTTAATAAATTGTAAGAAAAGTTTAACATTTTATAAGAAAAGTTTAACTGAATTTTTTATGTATATTATTTACAAAATGTGTTTGTAAAACCTTTAGTCAAAGTCTCATACATTTTTAACAACTTTTATTTTTTATCTTTGTTAAGTACAATATTTGGATTCATTATTAAAAAAACTTTTTAAAAGCAAATTTATTAAGTTTTTTAATGAATACTTGAGAGTATTTAGATAAATATACAATTGAAAACATAGTAGAAACCAGGTCTATAAAAGAAACCGGGTTATATTTCAAAATGTGTTATCTCGAGAAATATTAAATATTTTGAGCTCAACTTTTATACAAACCTTCCTAATAGTAAGGCCAGCTCACACAAAAAAAAGTTATTAGTTTTGTTGGTCCTTGATCCAATTAAGATAGCAATTTAACGAATAATTGGTCAAACATGGCTTTTTTAAAAATATTTAAACCCTTAGGGAGGTCAGGAAAATTGAAATATTTTTAAAAATTTTCTTGGAGTTGTCTTGTATATCAACGTAGAATAGGAAAATAAAGTGGCAAAGTTATAGTTTTTCTGACCCCTAAATAGGGACCCCTATTGTACGTGCCCGCTTTTTTTGCTGCAAAATTTTGCAATTAATTTTTTACTGCTCTCCAAAATAATTAGAGCTTTAAAACTTTCAGTACTTGTATAGTCCCAATAACGTTGGGATGTTAAAAGTTAAAACATTTTCCAGGGCTAACAGTACAAAGGACAACAAATACCCATTTCCTCCTTCCTACCCTGTCTTGTTTGTTTTTTAAAAAGGCAAATATTTTAGAAAAAATTATTGAAATGGATGAAAAAATTATTGAAATGGACTTTAATTTTAAAAAAAGCGCACACGCACTTTCCCCTTAAAATAATAGAAGCGAAAGCGCACCTCAAAAATAAAAAGAAATTCAAACTGACTAAACATAAAATTGCTCTATTTGAAAATAAGTAAGAGCATTTTGTTATGTAGCTAAGTTTGAGGATTCATCTCTTAACTTAGGTCTTATTTTGATTTCAACAAAGACATTGTTTCCCGATCACGAAATTGTTTTTGGCAGGTTAATTAACCTAAGAATTAAATAATGAAGATAACTTGGACAACGCTAACGTTGTCTAAGTTATCTTCATTATTTAATTCTTATTCAATAAATAATGAAGATAACTTGGACAACGCTAACGTTGTCTAAGTCGATCCCAAAATTGTATTCGCAGGTTAATTAATCTAAGAATTAAATAATGAAGATAACTTGGACAACGCTAACGTTGTCTTAGTTATCTTCATTATTTAATTCTTATTCATTAAATGAAATTCTAAAAAGTTGTGATTTTTACAACTAAAACATGTCAATATCATATAAAAAATTAGTATTTTATTTACTTAGTTAATTATACGTATTTGATTCATAAAACGTAATAAAATATATTTATATGCCGCATCTCTTCCGATAATAACTGTTTCGTAAGTTGCTACGCAAAAGAGTTTTGTTTTGAAAGAAATTTAGTTTTTTTATCATTATTTCAAAAAATAAAACCCTAAAATGTTTATATTTTGCAATACTGAAAATAAAAGTTCATTATAAACATTTTTGATTTATAAAAATTTTACTTTTTACAATTATATCCATTTGGCCAACAAAATTTTTTTAAAGACTTCAAAACGACTCTAAGAGAAAGAGCTCGTTTTGCAAGTGCGACTTCCGTAAGCGCTACTTTCGTATGTAACAAATAGTTTTTGCGATGAACATTTGCGAAATGTTCATTGGCGGTTTTTTTTTGTTTCGTAAAATTCGGTACAAAAAAAAAATTTCTAATTCTCAATATTCGTTCGAAAAAATTTTATTTTTCCGGAATCGCACGAAATCTTGACATAGCAGTAAGAATTTACATTCAAGTTTCATTAAGAAAAAAAAAACATTTTTAAAAATAATTCTGTCAAAATTACCTTTATTTGCAATATATATTTTTTAATATATTTAGGGGAAAGGCGCCTATGATAGCATACTTAACTTTGAAGCTTCTTTATTCAGCATCCTGAAAACCAAGAACAAAAGTTTTGATATGGGTATATTTTTTGTTTTATATAGAACAATAATAACCCTTAAAGTTTTTATCAACTTTAGTTTTATATTAGTTGTTTTTTATTTAAAAAAAAGCACAAGCATGCCATCATAGGAAACTACTGCTCCTATGATGGCATAGGTGATGATGGGACTGGTTAGCATCAAGGGTTACTTGACAATTTTATTTGAACTTAAAGTTCTCTCAGAAATGCCAGAAATTACGCGTAATCATCCTTATTAACGTTTTTGTGCTAAACAGCAGCAGTGTAGAACTTTGCGCATGCTAATGAGAGATTTTGCGCTTTTAATGTTTTTTGAACCAAAAATTTTTTAGTGAAGTAAAAAACCCCTATTTAATTTACTAACAATCATGTTGCTTCAATAAAAAAAAAGGTTTTCTTAACTCGTCAATATTGCAACACACCTAACCTGTCAGCATGCCATCATAGGAAGAATTCACCATTTTCATTTAATTAAAGTATGTCTGCCTTGTTTAATAGATAAAATTAAAATAAGTATTTTACTAAATGCACAAAACCTTAAAATAAAATGCATGAAAACATTATTTCTGTACACTTGATATAATATCACAATTTTAAATATCTAAAAGGATTAAAAATACAACAGCACATCCCAAAATCGATTTTTGTTAATTATAAAAGCAATATTTGTGCATAAGGGACGCATTTTTACTAAAACTAATGTAAAGTCAGTATCGAAATGTTGGTCTAATAACTTTTTCGCCATAATCAATATTTATGAAAATATGACCGGTATGCCATCATAGGCGCTAAGCCATCATAGGCGCTTTTTCCTATTTACGTTATACAGAAGCTAGTGGGCCTTAGTAACAGCATTATTTTTTAACTTTTGGATCATGGTTAAATTTTGTATTGGTAAAATATATAAAAAACTCAAGAGTTATTTACATCTTACAACTTGGGAATTAAAAATAAGTTTTAAACATTTAAAATTTTTTTTGAGTAGTTGCTTATAAATTTCTACATGCATGGTAAAGTCAAGAGTAATGTTGGGATAAAACTTAGTAAGATTATTGTCATTCACTCTCTCGCCATACTTAAAACTCCTGGTCCACCGTGAGCTTGAATTTCCTAAATAAATAAAAAATTATCAGCTGTAATATTTATTTATTTTAACTTACGATCAATTCTTGTTTGGTTTTAGATTTTATCCAAATAATATAAAAAAAAAAAATCTTAAAAAAATATAGCACAAATGTTATTTAAGAATATATATAACTCTAAAAGAATAATAGTTAAACAAGTTAATAATAAAATTTCGTTAGATTTAGCATAAAACTTTTAATTTTAATTAGAAATAAAGAAAACCTGAGATTCTTGTATCAAGGCGCAACATGGACAGCAGCAATGACAAGCCATATCTTTTAAAAAAGATCCCTAATAGATAAAAAATAGTTATTTTGAAATCAAAAAATTAAAAATAAAAACTAATTACACAAATTTTTAAAATATACAAAAAAAAAAAAAAAAAAAAAAAAAAATTCAGCGACCGAATAATGTAGATAATAAAAATTTAAAAAATTAAAAAAAAAACGCGCAAAATTTAGGTGAGAATAAGGAAGGTTTGCAAATAGAACGAGATGACTTTTTTCTATAACAAATCAACAAAAATTAAAACAAAACTTTTTATATAGTGTCCATTAATTTTATATTTTTATAACAAATTAATCTACTTGTAGACTGAAACTTCTGCAGTTGGAACAAAACATTGACAATTTACATTGATACATGACTGATAGTTTAAACAAATTATGAATATTTAAAGCGTTTGTCATCTTACCCCGTCTTCTCATGCAAAAAAAAAAAAATCTATTCATAAAACAGAGCCTTTCATCAGAAAGTGCCAGAAACTAAATGGAACACTTTACTAATTGAGTATTTTATCTTTAACTTTAACATCATTTTGCAGTTAAGGTTTTCCAGCATTTTTAAACATTTTATTGAAGAAAGGTTTAAAAATGTTAGGGCTAAAGAGCTCAAAAAGTAAAAACGGAAGCAACTAGCTCTGGTCTATTCTATTATAACTTTTTGCTTTTATTTGTACGGCAATGCTTTAAAGCTGAACGTAATTAAAAATAAGTTAATTTCGAAACCAATTTAAATGGTTCCAGCAGAAAATTAATTAAAAAATTGCTGTTTAAGAAAATTGTGTCATTAAAGTATAAAAGAAATATAAAAAACCTACTTCGATACCGTATTTTTTTCGAATCTTTTCTCTTGTTGTAGCATCGGTATAAAAGTTAATACACGTCATTGAAAGAAGTCCATACAAAATGCAGCTTTCTCCAACGTATTCAGCGTTTTTACCAGCTGTCACGCAAGGTAAAAAGTATGTTATTAAACATGTGGATAAGTCGTTGCAACAGCCACATATGTTGTTTGAAAATTCTGTTTTTGGCATTTTTCTTCTAAAAACTTTTTTGAAAATAGACTATTTATTACTGTGATAAAATTAAAACAATAAATAAATAAATAAAAATTATGTATAAATTTTGAAAATAAAGATTTTTTAATACGTTGTGTTCCAACAAACTCTTATCAATATGAATGTTTACACGCAATAAATATTTTCTTCTTTAAAGTTTCCTATTCTTTTTTAAAATTGCGGAAGTTTAAACTAAATAAATCTTTTTTACCTTAATATTTCCTATTTTACAAACGCAACGATTTGATAGAATTTTATAAAGCGTAAATTTTGAAAATACCTTCCAAATATTAACTTAATGCCAAAATTAATACATGTTGTTACTTAAATGCACATGCAGAAAACAAAAATTTAGCTTATATTTCAAAACAAAACTAGACAACTTGTTATTAACAATTTAAGATTTAAAAAAAATTTTTAAAATAGATTAACAAAAAATACTGTTGCTATATATTTGAAATTTATCAAAAGTTATTACTATATTTAATAATTAATGTAACTTTTATAATTCTTTTACCCTTCATGTTAAATTTGTTACAACTTATTTTAACATTTACATACAAAATGCAAATATGCAAGAGTTTTTAGCTTACTCTAAACCTATAGGGTAAAAAACTAGGTATAGGGTAAATTAGTTTTTAGTTTACTCAAACTTATTTATTCTAATAACATTTACTTATACTCTAGTTTATACTTTACCTTTATTGTTGTTATTATCACTATTTTTATTTTTATTGAATTTGACAGGTGTTTACTTCATATTAATACTTATTACTATTTGTAAGTATCTTTGATGTAAGATCTTTTATTCAGAAAAAAAATTAGTTTTGATTTGATTTGATTAAGTATAAAAAAGTACTACAATAATATAGAAGAGTAAAAATACATTAAGTAATACATTAAATTTTAGAGCTTTTATGTTCCCAGGATGCGATCATTGTGATCTTTTACAAAATATCTACATTTGACGTAAGTAAATATAACTTAAAATATTATAGAATAAATTGCAAGGTTATAAAATGGTTCAAAAGTTATCTATGCAACCGTAAACAATTTGTCTTTAGCAAAGGTAATCATCCAAATATGTTTCATTTGGCGTTCCACAAGGTTACATTTTGCAACCACTATTGTTCTTGATTTTTATAAACGACCTAAACAAAGGTTCGTATTTAATGAGTATCATGTTTGCTTTTGACACTGACTTATTTTTTCAGATAACGATATTTACAAACTCTCAAACTATGAACCACGAACTTAAAAGTATAAACAAATTGTTTAAACGCAAAAAACTAACTCTTAACATTAAAAAAACAAATTGGGTTCTTTTCCACCGAGTCCCATTTGCCCCGAAGCTTGCCTAAAATTTTTCTTGATGATTTTAAAATAAAGACATAATGTAATAAAGTTCTTAGGTGTTTTTCTTGATGAAAACATCACATGGAAAACGCATATCGACTATATTGATACAAAATTTCTGAAAATATTCAAATTTCATATAAACCAGAACATATGTAAAAAAAGTCTAGCTTAACTTTATTATTCATTAGTTCATAGTTATTTAAATTATGCTAATGTTGCTTGGGAATAAACTGAAAAAAGTAAGATAAAATGCCTTTATCGCCGCCAGAAACATGCGATCCGTTTAATAAAATTTGCAGATCGATACACTTATTCTAAACCATTTTTTATTGAAATGAAAGTTCTTCGTATTTATGAGGTTAATGTTTTTAATGTTTTGTGCATTATGTATATGTGGAAAAATGACATATCTTTACGGGTTTTAAATATCTTTTTTGATTGAAACCAATAAATAAATATACACTTAGAAACAATAATTTTATATGTAAGCTCTTTTGTCGAAAAAACTACGATAGTTTGAATAACAAAAAACTAATAATAATATTTAATATTAAGGTCTTTTATCAAGTGCAATTGAACCTGTCATTTTGAAAAGGGCACAAGTCATTTATTAAAACTTTTCAAAATCAGCAAAAACATGACTTTTTTTTTTTAATAATCTGTTAAGAAAATAAACTGGTAAAGATTTTAAACATAGAAGTAGATAAATAAAGAACGTATCTAACTTATGTAACTTTTATATTTTATAAAAAAAACATAAATCAAACAGAAATTAAAATTTATAAACTACCTGTTAAAGACCTTAGACTTATGTCCTTTTCGAAATGACAGGTTCAATTATATCTTGTACAAATAATGGAATATATCCTAGTTAGGGCACAAAAACTGTTTTAAATTTACTAATAGAAGAAAATATATTACACAATGCATTGTTTTTTTAAAACTTACCGTTTCAGCAATAAAACTTTTTTAACAGGAGCTAGCAACTTAATAAGCCAACAAGCCAATGAAAATGACAAATCACTATGCGAAAGACTTTTCTTATAATAAAATCTACAAAACCTTACCAAAGTATTGCGTAAATATGCAAATATTCACCCTTTATGATTGCGCGGTTTTTATTTAAAAAATTGTGGTAATTTTCAGCAACGCAATCAGTGGTATTTATAGCATCTTTTATAGATAATGTGTAATAACCTAATGTTTTTTTTAATTTCAAAGTAGCTATTAAAAACTTTAAAGGCGTGTAAACTAAAGTGTAAACTTAAACGTAGAAGTGTAAAAAATGGCTATTTATAAGCATATAAATACACATACAAAGTAATTAAAAATGAAAACAATTTAAAAAGACTTAAGTAAAATGAGCTAGGTGATAAATCTAGTTTTATAATTGTTTTTTTGCGTTGTAAAAATCTTTTACTTTTTCTGTAAACGTGAATAATATTCGCTGAACAACCGCTTTACTTATTACTGAAAACTTTGTTATTAATTTTACAAACTTTGTTATTAATTTTCTGAGAAATATAGCCAAAATATACAAATTGTAGAAGTGATGTTTTTAAATTGTCATTATTTCAAGATTAATTCTATAGTTTTTTGTAATAACCAGTGAAAGTGAAAGTGAAAGTGAAAGCCATAGTTAAACTTTGAAAATTTTTATAAACTTTAACCGTATTTATGAAAATGTTTGCGCATGGCAATTGCTACTTTGCGAGACATTTTTGCAACATGAAAATAACAAACTCATTTCCTTATAACTTTTTTACTATTTTGGGTAGATATGACTCTGACTTTATTCTCGCTCCCAACTTTTGTTTCATTATTATTTTTTAATATTATTTCATAACCTAAAGAAACCTAATTTTGTTAACATATTTATTTATTTATATCAATATAGTTTAGTGTTTAACTGTAAACTGCATTTACTAATATTTTATCACCAAAGCAAATGCAATAAAGTATAATAATGCTATGTAACTCAAGTAAAGCATAAAATTTAGCTACCATTTCATTAACACAAATACCTCAGCAAATCTATAGTCATTTTTATCTTACAGTTATTTTAGATATTTGAATTTGCGAGTGTATTAGTTAAAAGTTTTATGAAGTGCCTAATTAATTATTACTACTATATTAATTAGTCGTTGATTATGCTACATTAATGATGTAATCATTATCAAACACTCTAGTCCAGTTCCGCTCAAAAAATGTATTAATTAAAAATACTAAATTACAATACTAATAGAGTACCATTGCTAAGGGTATCTTAGCCACTGCTAGGGTATTTTTTAATTAAAAGTTTGGCAAACAAAGCTACTTCTAGGATTTCTGTAATATTTTTACCACCTAAGCACATCGATTTTTTTAGATATTGGTTTTTAAATAAATTTATAAGAAAACTAATTTACTTATATTTTCCACAGCAAATCTGAAGCAACGGTTGTTATGGGTAATATAACAAAGTGCATTGACCACAAAAACTTGTTTTTGACAAATGATTTCTTTAAAAGTCTCTTAAGCACGTATTTCTTTTACATAATCAGTTTATGTTTTAGCACCTTTATTAACATCTACGAAAACTATGTTTAAGTAATGGCCTTTAGAGATATTAAAGCTCAAAGTTAAGATAAAACTTCAAGTTTAGTGGTTTTGCGCCATGATTTCTAGACGATAAAAATTGTAAATATTGTGAGTTTTTATTTTTAATTTAGAAATCTACTTAGAGCAGCAAAAAATAACATCCACACTATATAATTATTTTTAAAGATAGTGGTTTGTAAGAGGTAAATTGGATAGAAGAGAAGGGTTTGAAGCTAATAGAGATCATAATATTAGTCATGGGTACATCATTTTTTTTGCGTTTTATATCCAATCATTTAAATATTTATACTTATGTCAAATGATGATGATCAATCAAATGATGATTTATAAAAAATTGCGATGGTAGGAGATCAGAAAAAAAAACCAAAATTTTTGGTCCAAATATAAGAGCAACAAATTAATAAAATATTTAGTTTTTCTAATTTTAACTAATTTTATATTTACCAACAAATTTTAAATATGATAAAGTTATATAGTTCAAGTAGCGTTCTAAAGTGAAATTTGAAACCCCCTCAAATATGAGGGGGTTCAAACTTTATTTGGTCATACTTTTTAAACGCTGAGAGATTATAGAAGGAAAATTAAAATTTAGGTCTAATTGAAAATAGCATAAAAAAAATTATCAAATTCTTGCTTTCACGTTTAAGGCAGGAATAAAGAAAAGGAGACAAATATAATGAGGATTTTTTATTCCCAGGTTCTAATCATTGCAATCTTTTTAAAATCATATTTATTTGACTACTTAAAGCGTCATATATATAAACATATAAATCGTTGCAGTTTGCTCTATGTCCGGAAGTTAGCTATATCAGACCAAAAAAAAAAGTAAAAATAAACAAGAACAATAAGCAATATTCAAGGAAAGTAAGATTCATTAACTCTTGTTTTACTAAAAAGTTGTTTGTGTCGAGTGTAAGTGTGATATATAAACAGTGTCAGCGATCGAGCAGAATTATCCGTTTTATAAGTAGTTACAATGTGGTTTTTATTATTAGGGTAATAAACATACATTATAAAAATATGTGTTAAAAGGGTAAAAGGAGTGTAGCAGAGTGAGATAAAAG